ATAAAAATACAAATGGCCGTACCTTAAGTGCATGCGTCTCTGACAGGACAACAAGTTTCCACTCTGGCTGGGAAAATGGCCTCGTTTACGTAATGAAGGCTGTGTCTGCTTGGCGTTAACAGCTATCCAATGAAAAACATGCATTGGCTTAAGAGACACTGTGTCAACCGTGTAATAAGGCGTCCGTGTTGAAATGGATACTTCGGTAACAATACACTTTCAACCATCATTGAGGAAATGCATGGGGCCCATTTGTCACAGGGATTCTCAAGTAAAACGTGAAGCCGTACAAAAGCTGAGGTCCACCGTTTACCGTATGGTCGTAGCCAGTTAATATTTATTTATTTATTTTTTTTTTATTTAGGCATTTTTTTATAGCGCTTACCTTACAGCTCTAAGCGCTTTACAATTATTTAAAATAAGTTAACTATTTATACTGCGAAAGTAAAATAAAAATGAAAAACCAGAGACACTAGAATAGTAACAACAATGTGAAGAATGACTTATTTAGACTTTTAAGGTGTATGTACTTTGTATAAATATATATTATGTTTTTATGGAATCTCGTGAATCGATATATAAATATATTAAAAAATTATTCCATTAAAAAAAAAAATATGATTAAAAGAATTATGTTATCATTACGAACGCGTAGTCTATGCCTAGTCTTAAAACACGGCTGCACTGTTTTGAAACACAGCTGTACTGTTTTAAAACACGGCTGCACTGTTTTGAAACACAGCTGCACTGTTTTAAAACACAGCCATACTGTTTTGGAACACGGCTGCACTGTTTTGAAACACGGCTGTACTGTTGTAAAACGATTTTTATTTGAAGAGAGACTTGGCCCTAGTTTTTTGGCGCATCCGCATAGAAATGTCCAGCAATATTTAGACTGTTCTAGAATGACAAACCACTCTAAATCAACTGATCAAAATCGTCAATCATTCTATACTAGATAATTGATTTAGGCCATGTAGCACTCGAACATAAGATAGATATAACCATTTGAATTTACATAACAAACCCAACTAATATGTAGACAGACAGACAGAGTGCCAGATAGATGTACGGCTGTAAGAGTAGATGGATAAACGGATGTATTAAAAAATATTTAAATGGATAGTAAGCTGTATTGTTAGATGGCTGGATATATAGATAGATAAAAAGATGGATTGATAGACCACTGGGTACTTGGATGGATAGATAGACTGCATAGAAAAACTGCAGAAAGCTCAAAACTCAGCTGCTAGGCTAGTTTTAAAGGCAAAAAAAAAACAAAAAAAACCTCATCACGTGCCTCCACTACTCCATTCCCTTCACCGACTCCCTATACAGGCACGCATTGAACTACATTGGCTCCCTATACAGGCACGCATTGAACTACATTGGCTCCCTATACAGGCACGCATTGAACTACATTGGCTCCCTATACAGGCACGCATTGAACTACATTGGCTCCCTATACAGGCACGCATTGAACTACATTGGCTCCCTATACAGGCACGCATTAAACTACATTGGCTCCCTATACAGGCACGCATTGAACTACATTGGCTCCCTATATAGGCACGCATTGAACTACATTGGCTCCCTATACAGGCACGCATTGAACTACGAGTTGTCTGTTCTCTGTCACAACTTTTTCTTGGATTCCTGTCCTTCATATCTAACCGAACTTCTTTCTGTCTATTCACCCCTTCGACAGCTTCGCTCCTCTACAGACACGCGTATTCTGTCCGTTCCCAAGACACACACTAAAACATATGGTAAACGATCTTTCTCTTTCTGCGCCCCCAAACAATGGAATTCTTTGCCATACACATACGCAATATACCAATCAACCAGGCCTTCAAAACTGCACTCAAAACACATCTTTTTAAATTATACTACCCAGACTGATTCCCCTCCTCTGACCGATAAAGGATCTTGCTGGCTGCCGTCCATGGTTTGCCTTGTAAAAGTTATGTGGTGGGGTGGGTGAATATACATTGCTGTTCTTTATTTCATAAATGTTTTTTGTTTTAATGTCATGATTATGTCTCTTTTGATAACATTTTTATGTACATCGCGGTGAGCCCAGCCCTAAGCTGGGGTAACGCGCTATATAAGACCTCTTATTATTATAGATAGATAGATAGATAGATAGATAGATAGATAGATAGATAGATAGATAGATAGATAGATAGATAGATAGATAGATAGATAGATAGATAGATAGATAGATAGATAGATAGATAGATA